CTATCTACCTATCTATCTACCTATCTACCTATCTATCTACCTATCTATCTACCTATCTACCTATCTATCTATCTATCTACCTATCTATCTACCTATCTATCTACCTATCTATCTACCTATCTACCTATCTATCTACCTATCTATCTACCTATCTATCTATCTACCTATCTACATACATACATACATACATACATACATACATACATACATACATACCGGTATATATACTTTGACAAAATAAATGCCACAGAATAACCCACTTTTGTTTATTTTTTGTTTACTCTGAAAAATGTTTTAAATTGCTGTTTGTCTTTGAAGGCTTTGTGAGCGACTGTGTCTGTTTTCTGGAAACCTTGTTCTGTTCTCACAATTCTTTTGTAATTTGGTCTCATTTTCGTGCTCTGCGTTTTATTTTTTTATATACTTGTGACCATTTCTGCTGTGTTTACCTTGAAAACTGATCACTTCTTTTTTAACTAAACATTTTCTATTTATTAATTAAACCAATATTTTCAGAATGTAGCAACTGGGTTATTGTGTATTTGTAAATGAGTGAGTTCCTGGTTTCAGTTGAATCGAAGATATTCAATTTCTGCAAAAATGAACCTTCCGTCAGGTTTTATTCATAATTCTTTTTAATTCACCGTTTGCTTTGTTTTAGGCACACAAACACCAAAAATCGGGGGAAAAAGTACATTTTGAAAAACTAAAAAACGTATTTAAAATATGTACGTATAAACATATTGTTTGTTAGAGTAAAAACATTTCTCATAAAGTTATTTTTTCTTTCAGAACTTTTGCGCATTACCAACCTGCGAATTAACTTCACAAAGCTCAACACCCTGGGAGACGACCTGCTGGACCGTCGCTCAGACGTCCTGCAAAAATATTACTACGCCATTTATGAGCTGGTTGTCCGAGGGAGCTGCTTTTGTTATGGACACGCTTCTGAGTGCGCCCCGGTGCCGGGGGTGAACACCCGGGAGATCGGCATGGTGAGTTAGTGAACTGGAACACCACAATACTGTTTGTTGATCGGCTCAAGTATGGGTTTACTGGCCGGAAACGACCAGGTAAATAATCAGTGACGGGTTTATTAAGAACAATAAAAACAAACTACAAATATATGTGGTTGAAAATCTGGAATTTCTCAGAATGATCTAAAGTCAAAAATTGAAATGCAAGAAAGCACATTAATCCATTGGCTCACTGTCAAGTCCAAAATTGAATTCAAAATCTTACTTCTAACCTACAAAGCTCTCAACACCCTAGCTCCATCTTATAGTACAGATCTTATTGTTCCCCATTTCCCCAACAGAGCACTTCGCTCTCAGACGGCAGATTTACTTGTGGTTCCTAGAGTTTCTAAAAGCAGAATGGGAGGAAGATCTTCCAGTTCTCAGGCTCCTCTCTTGTGGAACCAGCTTCCAGTTTCTGTCCATGAGGCTGACACAATGTCCAGTTTGAAGACTGGGCTCAAGACTTACCTTTTGTTTTATAAATCCTATAGTTAGAGTTGGCTTGTTAGGCTTAGACTACTGGAGGACAAATTGACCTCATTTCTTTAAAATAATTAAAATTTAATAATTTTCATTTTGATAACATTTCTATCCTAACATGTGATTCTTGACCTGCCATTGTGTATCTGTTCCTCCTTCCTGTTCCTCTCAAACCCAGCCGGTCGAAGCAGATTGAGCTTGTCCTGATCCTGGTTAAAATCCTGATAAAGGTTTCTTCCTCACGAGGGAGTTTTTCCTTTCCACTGTCGCCTTCATGCTCGCTCAAGACGAGAGTTCTGTGATGGAGTTAAACTCAAAGCTCCTCAGATAAATAATGTTAAATCATTATTTTACATATGGATGTTTCTGATCAGTGCCCTGAAATGACTTCTGTTGTGACTTGGTGCTAAATAAATAAACTGAATTGATTGTGAATTTTTCCATGTCGATCAAACTCGTTATACTGCAATTCCAGAAAAAAAAATATTTACCTCAGAAAAAAACATTTTTAAAAGACAAATCATTCTGCTCAAACTAAATGAGGCAATCAGCAAAGGTTAAATAATAATTGTTTAAAAAAAATGACCAGAAACTACTGTGTTTTTTCAGTTATTTAGTTAGTTTATCTTTTTATTTTCTCTGTGTGATTTATGTTTTATTCTTCTGCCCCTTGTGTTTTGGCTCAGATCCCTGTTTTCTTGCCAGTTCTCATTCTTACTCTGTTGTTCAGTCAGTTACCACTTACACCTGTTTCTAATTAGTAATCGCTCAGGTGCTGCCGCTTTCCACTCGCCCCCGTCCTATTTAAACCATCTTTAATCACCACTTCTACAGCAGTTCATTGTCTTGGTCCTCCCGCTTGTGCTCCCTGTGTTTGTGAGTCGTTTCTGCCATGTCAGCCCTTTACTTAATAAAACAAGTTTTATTTTATCCGAGCTCATCGTCTCCTGCATCTGGGTTCAGTCCCTTCATCACTTTTAATTTTACATTTATACCTGATTTAAATTTTAATGAGATTAAGAAAATTATGAGGCTGATGAAGTCTTTTGGATGAAAGACGAATCGTTTCTCCCTAAAGGAAACTGGTCCAGATCACATGATTGAACCATTTTTGTATTTTTCTACCTGTATGATTGAGCTGGCAAACTTTTTATTTATTTACTTTTTGGTTGGAGATCTTTTTTAAGGACGGTAAAGAAAAGCTGGACAGCTTCAAACGTTGAACCATTTGTGCAGAAACAGTGACGTCATCATCCAAATATGAAACTTCCCATTCAAAAACCAAGTGCATAGATCAATTTTTATTGTTCCATAGACATGCATAACTCTTGTTTTTATCAAATAAAATAAATGTATATGCCTATTGTAAATGTTGGTAACTCAAAGACAAAACCACAAAATTAAAAGACGGTTTACCTTTAACTCATCATCGTTTAGTAAGTTTATTAAAATCTTGATTCAGAGGAAAATACATGTTTTCAAAAAATGAAGCTCAAAGAATTGTGGGATAGAAAAATATACATCTTTCATGAAGAACGGTTCTTGAATCATTTTTTATTTACGGCTCTTCTCGTCATCTGAAGTTGGACTCGGCAGGAAACAGACCTCAGCCTGTTGGCGCCACAAAACGTTTCAGTGACAACTAACCTGGTTTGTTTATTCGGCGACGTTTCGTTCTCTTTGCACAGCTCGCACTGATTCTTTTCTTCTGATTCTGCTGTTTCAATTGGCCAGATTCACGGCCGCTGCGTTTGCAAACACAACACTGAAGGACTGAACTGCGAGCGCTGCAAAGACTTCCACAACGACTCTCCCTGGAGACCAGCGGAGCCCGGAGAGCCACACACCTGCACAAGTACAGCTCACATGCACTGTTACATGCGCACAAAAGCTCTTGCAGTTTTCTCACCTTCTCAAGTGTCGGCTTTAGAATGATTTTATTTTCTGCAATTCTTTGTTCACATTTCCTGCTGCGTTTCTCCAGAGTGCAACTGCAACGACCACTCGAGCCACTGCCACTTTGACTTGGCCGTGTATTTGGCAACGGGCAACGCTAGCGGAGGAGTTTGCAACAACTGCCAGCACAATACGATGGGACGCAACTGTGAGATGTGCAGACCGTTCTACTACCAAGACCCCAACAGGGACGTTAAGGACCCACATGTTTGTGTTGGTGAGACCTTTTCCTTCAACGTCACAGGAATATCCGTTTGGCTACTTCAGCTCTTGTGTTTTCTGATCTCGGTTTTTCTTTCAGAATTACGACACAGTTATGACGGTGAGAGCCCTGTCATAATTTAAAACCAGTTATAAATATTTAAGCTTTACTTTAAATATACAAAAAACAGAAATTACTGTCTCAGTAGCGTTCCAAAGTAGTGAAAGAAACATTTGTTGCCTCGACTGCTGCAGAGCTCTTTTAACATTTTCTTTTATTCACACGGACGGACGCCCCGTTGGAATGCGACTCGTTCGATCGCTCATGAATTGCACCTTTTCTCATTGAACTCCATAAATATGAATAATTGCCTAAAACAAATACACTTCGAAATTGCTTGCGTGCATTGTGATGCTTTGGTCTGCAAGAAGCTTCATTTAAAAAAAGGCTGCCTGTTCACTTTCGTAATGATTTCAAGATTATTTTACTTTTAAAGCTTTAAATGGCTTCGTACCCAGTTATTTAATGGGTCTTTTGCACTTTTATAATCCAAACGGAGCACTGAGATCCTCCAGTCGGATGCTTTTAGTGCAGCCGAGGGCTAAATTAAAGCGTAGCCCCCAGACTCTGGAACAATCTGCTCATTGATATTCGTTCAGTTCTTTAAATATCACATAAAAATCTCACTTTTTACACCGACTTTCAATTTTCATTTGAGTTCCATCAGAACCGATTACGTGTGGTATTTTATCGTTTAATTTGTTCTTAGCCTTTTTAATTACACTTGTGGTTTTTAATGTTTGAGCCTTCGTTTGTTATTTTTGCTAGAGTTCCTGTTTGTGAAGCACGTTGGTCGACATTGTTGTTTTAAATGTGCTATATAAATAAAGTTGACCTTTTTTTTTGCTGGTTCTGCCACCCCTCTGCAAATGTCTCTACTTGAGACTTTTTTAATCTTCTAAAAGTCCCTCCATTGCTTTTTTTTTTTTTTAATTCAACCGTCATCTATACAGGTTAGTGTCATTGAGCCTCGGGGACTCGTTTACCAGAGAGACCTGAGCTTTATCTCTGTTTTAAATGATCATTATGTTTTAAATTGTTAAACAAACAAACAAAAAACTTAAATTTGTATGAATCATTTGTGAATGTCTATTGTTGCCGTTGTTATCCACTGTTGTCATTGAGTTCTCGTGACTCAATGGGATTAACTTGTATAAATAAAGGTTGAATGAAACGTCCTTCTCTCACTTAACTTTTTTAATTTGATCCTGTTTTGTTCTTTAGCGTTATTTCCCACTGCCAAAGACGAAACGATATTGTTTTTATTTTGCATATTCGTTTGTGAGCAAAACGTCTCATAAACTACTGAACTGGCTTTAGTGGGACTTTCAGAAATCAGCTGTGGACATTCGTCTCTAACAGAATACATTTTGGAGTCAACATAATCCAAGATGGCTGCTACAACCAAGTGATTTTAGACAACGCAAACAAATTTTACAATATTAAGCTGAAATTTGTTGTGGTGGAAGCTAAGACTCATCCCTAACACACACTTTGAACACGAAATTTTATGCACAACATTAGCAGTAACTGTTGGCATCAATGTTGTCTGTCTGTTAGCGACATCTCTCTTTAGCCAGCAGACAGATTTGATGGAGCTCTCTCAAAAAATAAATAATTGGATGTACATCTATAACTGAATATCTTTTGGAGTCATCCCAGTCCAAGCTAATCATCAGTATCCAACATAAAAATAGTTAGACCTTTGTAAATGTTACCAGTTGTTCTAAAACCTGAGTGGCAGCAGCAGAGAATAATCTCCGAGGTATATTCTGAGCTCTCACATTATATTTAGAATAACAACAACAAAACAAGCAATAATGGCATGATCTGACCAAACTTCTTAGTCCATCCTTATCATCCTGGTGCTCATGTCCAGTCTTCACTGTGTGAGAGGCGGGGGACACCCTGGACAAGTCTCCAGTCCTTCACAGGGACACACAGAGACAAACAACCATTCTCTCTCTCTCACTCACACCTAGGGACAATTTAGAGTTACCAATCAGCCTAACATGCACGTTTTTGGTCTGTGGGAGGAAACTGGAGTAGCCGGAGAAAATCCACACATGCACGGAGAGAACATGCGAAAGGCACCCAGCTGGGATTTGAACCATGGTAACCTGCTCACTGAGAGGCGGCAGCTCTACCAACTGCACCACCGTGCTGC